GTGGGTCTGTCGTAGTTGGCCTAAAATCGAAAAAAGAGAATTTTTGGACTTTTTGGAAAGTTTTTTATTTGCTTTTTGCTGCTGCTGCTTCCTCTTTCTGCGTTTGCCAGAAAGCCCTTCAAAAGTCCTCCAAAAAGATCCAAAAAGATCCAAAAAAGATTAAAAAAAAACTCAAAAAAACAAAAAAAAGAAAAAAAAAATCTTTTTTTTTTACCTGCTTCACCGCCTCTATCAACTCCCACGGCAACTCCGCCTCCGCCCAAGTCCGAATTGGCGGCGGAACTCGACCGCCCTAAAACGAAATAAAATAAAATAAATAATTAAATTAAATTAATTTAATTGAATTAATTAATTTAATTTAATTAATTTAATTTAATTTATTTTAATTAATTTAATTTAATTAATTTAATTAAATTTAATTAATTAATTTAATTCGGTTTAATTGAGGTGAGCCATTGGATTGAGTTCAATTCGTTCGTTTGCGGAAGAAGATGAGACGGATACCGAAGAAAAAGAAAAAATAACAATAAAAATAAAAAAGGAAATTAAAAGAAATTAAAAGAAATTAAAAGAAATTAAAAGAAATTAAAAGAAATTAAAACAAATTGAAACAAATTAAAACAAATTGAAAGAATAAAAGAAATTAAAAGAAATTAAAAGAAATTGAAAGAAATTGAAAGAAATTAAAACAAATTAAAAGAAATTGAAAGAAGTTAAAAGAAATTGAAATAAATTGAAAGAAATAAAGAGAAATTGAAAGAACTTGAAAGAAATTAAAAGCAATTGAAAGAAGTTAAAGGAAATTGAAAGAAATTAAAAGAAGCAAAAAGGAATAAAGAGAAGTAAAAAGGAATAAAAAAGAAATAAAAAGAAATTGAAAGAAATAAAAAGAATAAAAGAAAAGATCGAAAGAAAACAAAAAGCAAAAATAAAACAAAAAGCCAAAAAGCAAAACAGCAAAAAAGAAAAACAAAAGACCAAAAGAAGTCCAAAAAGCGCAAAAAGAATTAAAAAAAGCAAAAAAGAAATAAAAAAGAAAACAGCAACAAAAAAGCAACAAAAGGAATTAAAAAGGAGTCAAAAAGAACTAAAAAGATGAAAAAGATTTTAAAAAAATAAAATAATTAAAAAGTGAAAATCACTTTTAAATAAATTTCAAAATCTTCTCTGAAAATCCGCCAATCCCTCTCCGTCATTTCTTCTCTCTTTTTTGTTGACCAGTGGCCCTCCAACTCCGGCTCTTCCTGCGCACAATCACAATTTGCTGCTGCTGCTGCTGCTGCTGCTGCTGCTGCTGCTGCTGCTGATGGTGCTGCTGCTGATGATGGTGGTGGTGGTGGTGGTGGGTATGCTGCTGCTGCTGCTGAGTGTGGTGGTTGTGCTGCTGCTGCTGCTGCTGCTGCTGGTTATACTGCTGCTGCTCTTGCTGCTGCTGCGGTCGCTGCTGCTGCTGATGGTGCTGATAGTGAGGGTTATTCTGTTGCTGCTGCTGCTGCTGATCCTGCTGCTAGTGATGCTGCTGCTGATGCTGGAACTGCTGGTGTTGCTGCTGGCGCTGGTGCTGCTGCTGCTGCTGCTGCTGATGATGATGATGCTAGTCGTGCTGCTGCTGCTGTCGTTTTCACTCCTGCTGCTGCTGTTACTGTTGTTGCTGCAGCTGCTGCTGCAGCTGCTGCTGCAGCTGCTGCTGCAGCTCTTGGAAGCAGAGCCAGCCGCAATGGCGCTGGTTGTGTTCTTGCTGCTGTCGCTCCAGGTGCTGCATGTCCTGCTGTTGCTGCTGCTGCTGCCGTTGCTGCTGCTGCTGCTGCTGCCGTTGCTGCTGCTGCTGCTGCTGCTGCTTACCTCGAGGTCTTTAGTCTTCTTCTTGTCGCTGGCTCGAGCTGCCTCTGCTGCTGCTGTTGCTGCTGCTGCTGCTGCTTCTTCTGCCCCACGTTGTCGCTGCTTCTGTTCGTATTCTTGGCGCCTGCAGCAGCAGCAGCAGCAGCAGCAGCAGCGCCGGCAGCAGCAGCAACTTTCGACAATCAGAAGAAGAGATAAACTGCGCACTGAGGGCTGCGGGCCAAAAAGAAGTCACTAAAGCAACAGCAGCAGCAGCAGCAAGCAGGAGTGCAGCAGCAGCAGCAGCAGCAAGCAGTAGTGCAGCAGCAGCAGCAGCAGCAGCAAGCAGTAGTGCAGCAGCAGCAGCAGCAAGAAGTAGTGCAGCAGCAGCAGCAGCAGCAAGCAGGAGTGCAACAGCAGCAGCAGCAAGTAGTAGTGCAGCAGCAGCAGCAACAGCAACAGCAGCAGCATTACCGCTTGACGAGTTCGTCATAGAAGTTATTCGCTTTGCGCTGTTCACGAATATCCATACCCGCCCTAAACCTGAAGTCAAAACACTAAACCCTAAACCCTAAACCCTAAACCCTAAACCCTAAATCCTAAACCCTAAAACTGAAACCCTAAACCCTGACGCCTTGCTGCGAAGGGCGAGATAAAGCCAGAGAATGCCGCAAACCCTTCG